TTATTATAACTGCTCTTATATTATTATTATTATTATTATTATTATTATTATTATTATTATTATTATTATTATATTAGTTATATATTATTATAGTTTAATAGTCCGCGTTATTTTCAAATCTTTATAGAAAGGACAAACAACAGCCACGTTTTTGTCTTCTCACGGAAGCTGAAGAAGAAATACAGATCACATGACTGGAACAAAGTTTAAACTGTTTGTGTGTAAAATTGAGTAATAGTGTCTCTATTACGGATGAATCTCAAATTCACTATGAACACACACAATAATTTAAATTGAATTTTTTTAGGCTCATTTGTTGTTTTCTGTGTTTTCCATAATCTGAAACAAGATTGAGTCTTGTTCCAGATTTGTTTTCATTCTGCACTGAAACAGAATAAGTTTTTATCCAATAAACAGGTGCCCATTCTTCAAAGCAAACACCTGTTTATACCTATTTGACAGAGTTATACAGTTATGAATGTGTCTTTTTCAGTGGCTGTCTGTTTTTTTACAACAGATTATTCATTGCATTATTACTCAGAGCTGAGGCGTTGCGTACAGTGGCAATTTTCATTAATCATTTCTAAATCCAAACATATAACTACAAAAAACCCTTTCCAACTTTGTTAGAAATACAAAATGTGATTGTTTGTCAAACAGTTCAAAGTGTGCCTTACCAATTTTACTGGGTGATAGTAGAACTTCAATGATGCGACTGACAATTTTTATTTTACAGTTTTGACACAATCAGCTTTTTAGAATAGAATAGAATAGAATAGAGACTGTATTGTAATTCAGAACACACACCAGTTAGTTGTCATCAGAACGGAATTTCAGTGCATTTACTTGCCATCAGACTGCACGGTATAAATAAAAATAAATACAAATATAAAGGTAGTAGAAAAAAAAGAATCTAGGATATGTACACGTAAGAACATAGGAGACAATTTCTGTATAGACTATTGTTGGTGGAAACGATTGTACAGATTATTCAATGCTTTTTAATGTTTGGCTTCTTTGTGAGGTTGGGATTATCAGCTGTGTTGTGCAGAAGTCGGCTTTATTTGACAACTGTTAGAAACCATATAATTGTAAGAACCAATCACCTAAGTAAAGATAAACAGCAGTCCATCATTATTTTAAGAATAGTCAGTTCAGAAAACTGCTAAAACTTTGAATGTGTCCCTATGTACAGTTGCAAAAAGCATCAAGCACTATGATGAAATTGGCTCACATGAGGACCGCCCCAGGAAAGGAAGACCAAGAGTCACCTCTGCTGCTGAGGATAAATTCATCTGAGTCACCAGCCTCAGAAATCACCTCAGCCTCAGAGGTTAACAGTACCTCAGATTAGAGCCCAGATAAATGCCACACAGAGTTTCAGTAGCAGACACATCTCTACATCAGCTGTCCAGAGGAGACTGAGTGATTCAGGCCTTTATGGTCAAATAGCTGCTAAGAAACCACTATTAGGCAAAGCAACAAGCAAAAGAGATTTGTTTGTACCAAGAAACACAAGGGATAAAGATCAGACCCACAAGAAATAAAGATCAGACCAGTGGAAATCTGTGCTTTGGTCTGATGAGTCCATGTTTGAGATCTTTGGCTCCACCCGCCGTGTCTTTGTGAAACAAAGAAAAGATGAACAGATCTCTACAAGCATGGTTCTCACTGTGAAGCATGGGGCAGCTTGGAGGGGTAACTGTTGTTTGTAAACTCAGACCTAAATTTAACTTTTGAATCATATTCAAATTTGATTTTTTTTTTTATCATATCAACAGCTGTAATGCAGACTTACATGAAGATGTTCTCTTGTTGTCTAACGTAATCTGGACTAAAATCCAGGAGGTAAACAGACAGAAGATGTTTTGTTGTTTTATTTAATTGAAAACCAAATGAAAAGATGACATATTTAATCAACGTGCAGGGTACTCCCATTAAATGGGAGCTCCCTTTGGTAGTTGCACAGCATTAGACTACAGTGAGAGAGACTGTTGTCTGTTTATTTATGTAATTCCAGAATATCATAGTTGTGAAACACAAATGTAGCAGGTGTCAATATATCATAAAATATAAGATAACTAAAGAACAGGACCTTTAATATAAAATAACTAAAGGACAGGACCATTAATATATTCTGCTAATATCCCAGCTGTAATTGGGACACCTTAAACCAGCAGTGAAAGGAAGTGTCACTGCTTCCTTCCGCCCTCGTGCTTTGAAGCTCGTGATTATTGAAAGTTGTGAATCAGAAAGAAGACATACAAGAAGGCGTATGAAACAAGAGGGAGGGGGGCACAAAACACATCAATCCACAAGTGTGCCTAATGATATGATCCCTTTGTGTTCGAATCCACACGAGGGGATTTATGAAGTTCAAATTATTAATGCTGTTTTTTTATGTCTGTTTTAGAGTTCTAGAGGATGCTAAAGACTGTGTGACCTGCAGAGAGTGACAAACAAAATAACTTTTTTTGATAAATGTTGTTGTTTTGCTTAGTTGTCCTCTCGAAGATAATAGTTGTGAGAACAGTTGCCAGAGTCAGTGGAAGAGCTGATTTTTATTGAAAGCTGTAGACTGTGCCTGAAAACCTACAAACACTGACTGTAAGTGTCTCGTTTTTTATCTGAGTGAAGCTCAAATGTGGAGTGGTTTCTGAAATCTATTCTTATGTTGCTGAGAGTTTTGTTACGTTAATATATTAATAAAGTTATGAAATATTATCATAGCATTTTAACTAACTAATCTTCTACACGCTGTAAACATGATAATAGTTATAAATGCTTTTAAAACAATGTGGTTTAACCAACGTCAGGGTTTTCCCTTTAGTTTATCTGATGAAGTGGCGCCATCGTGTGACGTAAACATTTCTTTTTTCTGCAGGCTGAAGAACAACAACACACATTCATCAAGAATCTAATATCGTATCACACTATATCACTGTCATCAGGTGGAGAAAATGCAAAGAAAACGTAGCCTGTGTTTTACCTGATGGGTACAATGTTACTGTTGAGGAGTTGCTGCTGCTCCTGCTGCTGATGGTGCTGGGGGGAAGGGCTGTGTTGATCTGAGGCTGTAGACTGTAAAAGGTCCATAGGAGTGATGGGAGCTGATTAAACAAGTGTTATGAGATAACAATAAAATGCAAAGATTGGTGACAGTGTTTATAAGGCAGCAGATTAAAAAAGAAACTGTGGGAAATAAACTAGGTTCTGCCTGTGAATCACTCTTTACGTCTCCATCTGCTCAGGGCCGCGGTTACCATAGCTACTGTGGAAGGTACAGTGAATTAAACAGCTGGCACTGCGATGACTTACTGGCGATATGATTGCTTATGTTTTTCATTACAAAAGAATTGTCTGATGTGGCTGTGTCCTCGGAAATCTGGATATACACCCCGAGGTGAATACATATAAAAAAATTGGATGGTGTAATCATTTCTGGAGGCTGGAGTTTTCAGTATACACAAACAACAAGCTGCTTCAGACACTGATCCTCCCGGTGGAAATGCACCTTCTCTTTCATCCTTGTATAAAACAGACTTTTAATGTTAGTTTAAATTCAAAATACACGGTTAAAAATATATATGAACACTAGATAATAAAGCAGGAGTGGGGAACTCCAGGCCTCGTGAGCCGGTGACCTGCAGGTTTTAGATGTGTCCTTAATCCAACACAGCTGATTTAAATGGCTAAATTACAACTTCAACATGTCTTGAAGTTCTCCAGAGGCCTGGTAATGAAGTAATCATTTGATTCAGGTGTGTTGACCCAGGGTGAGATCTGAAACCTGCAGGACATCGGCTCTCGAGGCCTGGAGAGGCCAACTCCTGTAATTAAAAAAAGTGAATGGTTCAGTCTCATGTGTTCTCTAGTAAGACATTAAATTTCACTAAAACTATGCAGTTATGAAACGTAACTTTAATCTGAGCCAAATCGATTTGCTTAGTTGTAAATAAAAGAGTGCAGTAAACGTGACCTGACAGACAGAAGCTAATTATGCCCTACGGAGCCCCCCAGGGGACATGGGAGAAAAAAAAATTACGGAGGAAAAAAAAAAAAATTAGGGAGGAAAAAAAAAATTAAGACGGACTTTTGCGAGATCTCGCAATAAGTATTGCGAGCGCTCGCAAAAGTATTGCGAGATCTCGCAAAAGTTTTAGCCGCATTCTTCGGAGGCCGCCAGCTCGAAGCCGACCGGGAGGTCGAGGCACGATGTGCCGGGAAAGCGGTGTTCCTCCCGGCTGTAGTAGGTCTCGACTTCCCGTTAGCTTCGAGCTAGTGGCCGTCAGCTCGAAGCCGACCGGGAGGTCGAGGCACGATGTGCCGGGAAAGCGGTGTTCCTCCCGGCTGTAGTAGGTCTCGACCTCCCGTTAGCTTCGAGCTAGTGGGTGTCAGATCTCCAAAAACATCGGAGCTCTTTTGCAAATATGTGATGTCTTGTAAACTGAGCAGGTATCTGACGTTTACACAACTACATTCACGCCTCAAAATATCTTAAAAGTGTATTTTGTGACCCAGAAGGAGTAATATTACAACTAAGTAGCTGCCGCCATTGTTGGAGTGTTGCGAGATCTCGCAATACTTTTGCGAGCGCTCGCAATACTTATTGCGAGATCTCGCAATACTTTTGCGAGCGCTCGCAATACTTTTGCGAGATCTCGCAAAAGTCCATCTTAATTTTTTTTTTCCTCCCTAATTTTTTTTTTTCCTCCCTAATTTTTTTTTTCCTCCCTAATTTTTTTTTCTCCCATGTCCCCTGGGGGGCTCCGTAATGCCCAGTGTTTAACCTCCACTGAGAATAAAAACTCAGCAAGGTTTTAAAGCTGTGTGCTGGTGAGCAGTAAACTGTGATTATCACCAGGTTAAATGGACACAGAGACACGAAACCAGGTGGAATTGTAATTAAAATGATTTCATTGTTGGCTGAAGATAATACGGATACTAACACATCCATATCTGCCACACAGAGCTCTGCATTTACTGCTCATTTAGAACAAATGACTGTCTCAGCAAACGAGGACACAATCACACAGTCCACTGTCTTTGTTAGATGCGCGCCTGTTTCAGCACAGTTCACAAACTCCCTCGAACACAACGTCCGGCCCACTGTGCGGCTCCACCAATGAGATCCGAGGGCCCGCGCAGTGGTATTAGCATACAGCCTGTATAAAAAGCACTGGTCTCAGTCACGGAGCTCATTCGTTACTTCAAAGTATCGAAGAGAGAAAATACCTGAACCCGCCAAGTCCGCTCCCAAGAAGGGCTCCAAGAAAGCTGTGACCAAGACCGCCGGCAAGGGCGGCAAGAAGAAGAGAAAGACCAGGAAGGAGAGCTACGCCGTCTACGTGTACAAGGTGCTGAAGCAGGTCCACCCCGACACCGGGATCTCCTCCAAGGCCATGAGCATCATGAACTCGTTTGTCAACGACATCTTCCTTACTTTTTAGACTGTAGAAAGAAACTCACTAAAAATCCAGCATTGATATGACTTTGCCACTCGCGCGTTTTTATTGCACGGTCTTGTGTCTGTATCGTTTTTGGTTGTCTGTCTTTGTTTTGTTGCAGGGTTGTTTTTTGTTTTTTTTGTTTTGTTTTTTTTTCCACACATGCACATTTATGTGGTCATGTGTCTGTTATATGGAGCACCATGGTCTTTGGAGGAATGCTGTCTCGCTTCACTGTGTACTGTAGCACTGCACATGGTTGAAATGACAAACCCACTTGCTCACTAACCTTACAAACAAAACTAGACTAACTACTTTGATACATAAAGGGCTGATTTGTTGGACTATCAACGGGCAAAAATTGGCAACTACATGCCAAAATCTAAACTAAGAGAAATTCGTATTAGTTTGTTTTTTGTAATCCCCCCTTGGCAACCTTGGATGGATGACACCTTTAGCATTTGCCTTTACTGCCTATGCCACAGGCCCTGCTGTGTCCTTCACATCCAGCTTTTCTAGCTATAACCAAAGAGGAATTTCCATCAAAGCTGTCTTCAATCTAACTCCTAATTTGATGGCTCCATAGCCACCTTTTTTATCTGCCTTTATATAATGCAACTATTGTAGTAAGTGCTGTGCATAAGATGGAGGAGTTGTACAGGATGTCGGTAGGAATGATTTCCTGTGGTGTTCAGAGGTGAATTTTGGTTCTCAGTCTCTCACTCCTGTGACTGGTCAGCATTTTACTTATCTTGGACAGAAAATTGTGGTTACACATTTTTCAGTAGGTGGAAGAATCACAGAATCCTCCAGAAAGAAGAGCAGAGATATACTGGGCATAACTAAAGGCACTAGATTAAACTGAGGTCGCTATCCAGGACATGAGATGAGCTTTATTAGTCCCACAGCTGGGAAATTCACCAACATGGGCAGAGCAGGATAAAATAAACAATTACAACAATATTACTATGAATAAAATGATTAAATATGTTTGACTAGTAGAGTCAACAAGACGAGGTTTAACTGGGAGATAAGCTGGATGTGTTTAGCAGGTATTGAGTATTACACATTGAGATACGCAGTGATCAGTTTGTGGATGTGTGTAGTCACGTGTTCATTCACTGCTGTTGTTTATTGTAGAGTCAGTAACTGTAGAAGGAAACTGAGTCAATGCAGACTAAGAGATCAGAGCCAAAGTGTGGAAGCGAGCTGCTGTAAGGTCACTAATGAAGCTTCTGATGTACAACAATGTGAGTGAAACTGTGCTTTGGTTAGAAGCGAGCAGCTGTCACACAAGTCTCACTGCTCCGTGGGCCTCCAGCAGCATCGGTGTGTTTGCTGGGAGCTCGCAGCGTCACTTTGTCCCAAAGCTGCGCTCACCAGATGCTGCTTTTAACTCTGAGTGTGTGAACAAACATGTGTATCAGCTGGAAAAGGCTTTTTACGGAGCTCTGCTGCGGCTCCACCGGTTTTAGCAGAGAAAAGAGTCAAAGAAGCCACCGAGCAGCGCTGAGCTCCGCACCGAGTCACTGAGCTTTGGGTTAGCGCCACGAACCGAGAGCACGAGAGTCCGACACGAGGCCTGTACGAGGAGACACAAGCCCGCTGTGGACGGCTCCACTGTCGACCTGCAGTGCTGCTCACACACTCACTTTAAGCTCTTTGATCCCGAGACACGAAACACAAAATGAAGCATTGCGAGGCACGCGCGAGAGCTGCGCGCGCTGCCTTCACTCTCAACGGTTCTCATGATGCGTTTAAGTGCAGCGTGGCGCTTCCGACTTGCCATCGCTGTACCGTGAATCTCGATCAGACGCGAAAGAGGAAAATGTCCGAGGAAGCTCCCGCACCTGCTGCCGTCCCAAGGCGGCCAACAGGAAGAAGACAACGACTTCCAAGCCCAAGAAGGCCGGCCCCAGCATGGGCGAGCTGATTGTGAAAGCCGTGGCCGCTTCCAAGGAGCGCAGCGGCGTGTCCGCAGCCGCACTCAAGAAGGCTCTGGCTGCCGGAGGCTACGATGTGGACAAGAACAAGGCCCGCGTTAAAACCGCCATCAACGAGTGTGATCGTGTGTACACAGCGTCTCTTTATGTTTGTCTCCACGTTGGTTGAGTGTGGAATAAGTGCATATGAGAGCATGAGGGTGGGAATGGATGTTTGTATCTGTGTGTGCCTGTATGTCTGTGTCTATATGTCAGGTTGGGTATCAGACGCCACCTCTCTGGGGACATCTCAGGCCCTCCAAGGTTTGGAGGCCTATCTCCCCCACCACCACCACCACTTCCCCTGCCAGTGGCGGACTCCCTCAGACATCGGTGCGTTGGTGGTTCTTTGTGTCTGGGGGTGGGCGTCCAGGTACACACCGGCTCACTCCTTGGCGGCCGCTTATCGGGGCCTGGAGCCTGGGGCTCGCTCGGGCCACTTCGGAGGTGGGGTGCCCCCGACCTCTCGGCCTGGTGCTCGGTCACTCAGGCACAGCTGGCTGCCGGCGGAGCTCACGGGCGCGTCACTGCAACCCCCCCTGGCTTCTGCTCCGCGGCTGCTGAGTGAGCCCTCATCTGGGACTCTCCTCAGCTCTTTCTGGGACAGTGGCGCGGTTGCCCCTCTGTTGGTCTTCCTTGGTCTCTTGTGTTCTGGGGGCCTCTGGATGTCTGGAGTTTTGATCTCCTCCATACCTGCTTCATGCCCTGGAGGACGGGGCTGTGGCCCCCCCACACCCTCTAGCAGATCATTACATGAAGGAACCTTTTAAAAACAAGCGCGTCCATGCTCACAGGTGTACACACGGGTGATCACACCCACAAACTACACCCTTTTTGGCTCCTACCTCAAAGCACACTGTGTTCTGTTGATCTTATGTGCTGCACAATAATGTTTAATATTTAGTATTTACTGTCATATTCCCATATATCATTGTGATGCTGTTTATTCTATTACTCTTGTTTTCTTCTGCTTGTTCTCTTTTTTCTTTCTCAACAGGTGATTCAGGTGATCGATATATGCATTTTTTTTCTGCTCATTCTGTTGGTTTTTGTTTTTTGCCCTTCTCCCCCGTCCCTCTTCTCAGCTGTTTCTCTTTCCCTCTTTCTTTCTCCCCTTCTTTCCCCCAGTCAAGTCTGTCCCGTATTCAGCAAGTGAAAATAAAATAAACAATAAAAGGTGAATCAAATGGACCATTACGGCAAGGCTGGGTTGGTCAATTTGGTAAAGTAAATCCGTTGGGCATCTTTCTTTGCCTTTAGACAACAATTCTGATGGCAAAAGAGCCAAACGGGACAGGCAAAAAAAAAAAAAAAAAAAAAAAAGACCGCCATCAAGAGCCTGGTGGCGAAGGGCACTGTGGTGCAGACCAAGGGTACCGGGGCCTCCGGATCCTTCAAGATGAACAAGAAGGTTACTGAGAGCAAAGCCAAGAAGCCCGCAAAGAAAGCCGCTCCTAAAGCCAAGAAGCCCGCCGCGGCCAAAGCCAAGAAACCGGCAGCAGCCGCTAAGAAGTCGCCCAAGAAGACCAAGAAGCGGCGGCCAAGAAAGCGCCCAAAAGCCCCAAGAAGGCGGCAAAGAGCCCCAAGAAGGTGCTCAAGAAGGCTCCTGCACCAAAGAAATCCCCCGCCAAGAAGGCCGCCAAGCCCAAAGTCAAGAAGGCGGCCACAGCAGCCAAGAAGAAGTGAGCTGACACCACTCTCACACTCAACAACGGCTCTTCTCAGAGCCACCACAGCAACACACAAGAGCTCCTTCCTCTCACTCACTCACCACTCTGTCATTCACAATAATGTCCATGTTATTAAAACACGGTTTTTTTTTTCTCCATTGTCCTCATTACAATTACAACTTGGATTACTATCATGGTGCACATTAGTGCTGTTTAAGCAAGTCTACAACTCCAGAGGAATACAAATATTAACGACTTAATATTTATAATCACACCTTCGTAATACAAGTCATAAACTGTTAAAAGTTAGCAAATACATTTTAAAATATTCTATTAAACAACACATAATACATTCATAGATGCATGTTATTATTCACGTATGAAATACTGAGTTCTATTTTTTAAAAGCCTACACTGGCTGTTGTACTGGAAGTACACTGTATATTTTAATGATACCCAGCTAATATAATCCACTTGAAATGCTCTAATCTACAACTTTACCTGACGAAATCTAGTCCAGTTGAATTGATATTGTGTGATTTCAAGGACACATTTTACTCCAAGCTGAGCCCGTACTGCTATTTATTTTACCATGGAGCTCTGTAGCGTGAAGGATGAGGGGAATTAAATTATTTCAAAATAGTCTTGAGGTTTACTTCTTGACCTCACCGATTCTTTGGATATCCCAGCTGAAGAAGAGTCCGGGGCTGCCCTGTGTCCCCCTCCACAGCAGTTTTCCACTAATTCTATTGTTCAGTCTGGGGGGGCTGTCCTCTAACCAGACTAGTAACTGTGGCTTCTTGTTCTTGGCTGAGGCAGCTTTCACTCACTTTATAACAGGCAGACCCCCACTGTCAATGCATTTTTCATACTATACAGTTACACACCAAAGTTTATAGCTGAACCAACTGATTTGGCACGTCAGAGGTGAGCAACTTAATGTCATTCTTGGGAGCTTTAAGGTCGCATGAAATGCTTTGAGAACACAAATCCACTATTGTCCTTAAAACAGGGGTTGACAAAGACATTCTAACAAAAGCCACACTTAGGAATCATTTCCTGTTCTTCTGATCACCAGCTGCCCCCTATTATCCAAGGAAACTCTATTGTAATAGTTTTATTCTACTCACAATAGACACAAAAACCTAAGCGTAGATGTAAGTGACTTTGCAAAATGTCCCAAATTCAGCAGCAGTGCTGAACACGTTGCAAACAGCTGCACATTTTCCTCCCTCTGTACCAAACAAGTCCACCTGTCCCTCTCCACCTGTTTGGTGTTATGATTTCCTGTTGCGTTTGTGGTCTTGCCACATCATGAACTGTGTGTTGTCCGTTTTCATGAGCTTAGAAACTGTTTTAATTATAAAGCGAGTGAACCATGATGAGTGTCCACAGTCAGTTATGAAGCTAATAATTAGTGACATCCAATTTACTCTTAATTAGTAAGATGAGCAATGAGGTTGAACACGACCCCTAACCACAACGCAGGAGGCAGAGCTTTTTGCTTTAGTTTTATATCAAGACCTAAAGTTAGTTTTATTCACAAAAGAATAGACTAAACACACAGAGCTTTGGAGTTAATGAAAGTAGTTTTTCTTTGAAAGTGGATTTCAGTCCCTGATTATGTAAGATGACATGAATGAACGTACATTTCAAAGTAAATCAAGATGCATAATGTACATTTCCCAGTACACAGCTTGTTACAAACACCATAACAGCAAGAAGGATGTTTGCTCAGAGAGAAGTGTGTGGCTCTTAAAAGAGCCTTTGTTTTTGGTGAAGCCGAGCGCTTTGCGTTTACTTGGCCTTGGCGGGCTTTTCGGTCTTCTTGGGCAGCAGCACAGCCTGGATGTTGGGCAGCACACCACCCTGAGCGATGGTGACTCCCCCCAGGAGCTTGTTGAGCTCCTCGTCGTTGCACACAGCCAGCTGCAAGTGACGTGGGATGATACGAGTCTTCTTGTCGCGGGCTGTGTTGCCTGCCAGCTCCAGGATCTCAGCGGTCAGGTACTTGAGCACAGCTGCCAGGTAAACAGGGGGACCGGCTCCCACACGCTCAGCATAGTTGCCTTTGCGCAGCAGTCTGTGGACACGACCCACGGGGAACTGAAGCCCGGCACGGGAAGAGCGGGTCTTGGCCTTAGCTCTGCCTGACGTTCATGCCTCCAAAGATGACTCATCTGGTTTCTGAAGATACTCTTTGACAAGACTGACAATTGTCGATACTTCTGCCATGGCACCTTTACCTTCATCTCCACACACTAGCTTTTTGGCAACGCAGGGGATTTCCACATATCCAAACTCTTTCAGTCTGGATACCTGCTGGGCTGTAATAGGATGCAGCCACATAGCTGTGTTCATTGCAGGGCAGAAGAGGACGACTGGTATCCCAGGCTCTTACCACACACGTCAGCAGATTATCACAAATACCACTAGCAATCTTTCCAAGACTGTTGGCATCAAGAGGGGCAATGACAAGTAGATCTGCACAACGCCTTAGCTCAATGTGTAGCACAGGGTCAGATCTCTGTTTCCACAGCTCCCATTCATCCTCGTCACTGTAGATTTTGACTGACACCTCAGCAGAATTATAGAAGTGCTTGGCATGCTCTGTAGTGACTACTCATACATCCACCCCAGAGAGTTCAAGAAGCTGGGAGACCAAAAGAGGCAGTTTCAAGGCTGCAACACTCCCTGTCACTCCAACAAGGACATTAAATGTCCCGGAAGTTTTCAACAAATCAGTTTTTAAACTTGACATGTGGTCGTCTTGCTGCCTGTCAGCAAAAAGAGTCTTGCCGCGCCCACTCATTTTGACAGGTTCTTTTCTTCGTAGTATCGAGACTAAGAAAAAATGTGGCCCGATCAGCTCAAAGCCTCGCTTATATTTCCGCAGAGCGCGCGGAGCTTCGTCACGCACCAATCGCAGAGAGGCTTGCGGCAGCGCGCAACATCAATGCACTTTTCTCCAATGAGCAGCACACACCGAGGCGGGGCGATGCTCCACGTGGAGCCCGTCACCAATCACGAGCCGGAGCGGCACCGCGTCACAGCCAGTCACACACTTTAAGAGCAGCGAGTCTCCTCTGTTCGCTACATTTTCTGCTCGTATCACAAGAAAAGAAAAGTGAGGAAGAATGGCAAGAACCAAGCAGACCGCTCGCAAGTCTACTGGCGGCAAAGCCCCCAGGAAGCAGCTGGCCACCAAGGCCGCTCGTAAGAGCGCCCCGGCCACCGGAGGCGTCAAGAAGCCCCACCGTTATAGGCCTGGTACCGTGGCTCTGCGTGAGATCCGCCGTTACCAGAAATCCACCGAGCTGCTAATCCGTAAGCTGCCCTTCCAGCGCCTGGTCCGCGAGATCGCTCAGGATTTCAAGACCGACCTGCGCTTCCAGAGCTCTGCTGTCATGGCTCTGCAGGAGGCCAGCGAGGCTTACCTGGTCGGACTCTTCGAGGACACAAACCTGTGCGCCATCCACGCCAAAAGGGTCACCATCATGCCCAAAGACATCCAGCTGGCTCGCCGCATCCGCGGAGAGAGAGCTTAAGCTGCACGCTCTCCTACCAACAACTGCTCTTTTCTTTTTTTTTTTTTTTTTTTTTTTAAAAACTTTATTTAAAGTAAACAAGTTTACATATAAAATGCACATACACATACAATTACATATACAAAACCATGAGCACATACAAAAGGGAGAAACAAGGAGGAAAATCTAGCATTTGAGTCCACACAACGCTCACAAGACTTACAGTTTTAATTCGTTCCAGGGGAAAACTTTCCCAAGTTTCAGGTCCATTGTTCGTCTTCTCCGCAGATCTGTAATGATATGTTTACTCACCACATCACTACTTATCTTTTGTTCTAACACTCCTTTGGCACGAGTTTTCCAAATATGTGTGTTTATTACACACATTACTAACCAAAAGAGTCTCCTTTTGTCGTCACACATTTTTTCTTTAAACAAACCATATTTAACTGCTTTAATATTAACATCCACATCATAGCCAATTTCTGTCATTTTCTGCCTGATCTCAGTTGTCCTATAACAATCCAATAGATGTTCTAGGGTCTCATCTTCATCACAGTCTGTCATAGGACATTACATGGTGGTAACAAAACAACTCCATTGTACCACCGCCCTCACAGGGAGGCGCCCGAGCGAGATGAGCCATACCACGTCTCTCATGCTTTCAGATAATATTTTGTCTTGTATATTTTTAACTATTGAAAGGTTTTCATCTTGATTTGCATACTTATATTGAATTAAACCGTTATTTTGTATTCCATTAATTTTTTTATAGATATTTTTCGTATTATCTTGGAGAATATTTAAACCATAATGTTCCCATTGACTTGATAAGTCACCAAACATAAGTCTGTGGTATGGAACGCCCGCTCTGGCCCTGCCTCTTTTCTTTTGCCACAATTGCTCCTTCCCTCGAACCCACGGGGCACCCCGAGAAATTGCGCTTTGAGTAATTTTTATAAAAGGAATTCGCAAAACAATCTCTAAGTCTGGGGCTCCCAAACCCCCGTGTTTCCTAGTCTTGTACATAAATTTTCTCTTAGTCACTTCTCGATTGGATCCCCAGATAAATGTAATGCACATCTTACTTATTTTCATTACAGTTGTTCTCGGAGGAGGAAAAATTGCGGCAAGGAACAGGAGTTTTGAAATTATGTGTGTTTTTACAATATTAATACGTGTTTTATAATTTGTATCTTTGTTCTCCCATTTCATAATTTCCATTTTTATTTCATTTTCTTTCTTATTCCAATTTAGTAAACTAGAGTCAGTATTATCGATCCATATACCCAAAATTTTAATCTCCCTACATAGAGAGATCATCATTTTAGGTTGTCTGGTCTGAAGTCCAAGCCACACCCCTTCAGTTTTTTCTTGGTTAAGCTTGGCACCTGATGCCTGTTCGTAGTGTTGTAGTATCTCCATAACTGAAGACAGTTTGTTTTGATTTCTAATTATCACCGACACATCATCTGCATACGCCAAAGCTGCGATTTTAAGGGATTTATCAAGGACGTATCCCTTGATTCGTTTATCATCATTTATCCTTTTCAATAAGGGATTAATTGCAAGGACATATAACGCAGCACTCAAAGGACATCCTTGTTTAACCCCGCACTCAGCACTAAAAGGGGATGAGAGCTTTCCATTTACCTTAACTCGCACTAGGGACTTTTTATAACTCAATTGAATAATGGAAATAAATTGGTCCGGAAAATTATAAGCTTTCATTACTTTCCATAAATAGGAGTGGGAAACAGAATCAAAAGCTCGCCTTTGATCTAATCCTAAAATGCAAAGTTTTGAGTCCTTTCCGCTATAAATAATTTCTCTTAACATACTTAAGTTATCCCACATCAATCGTCCCTTAATTGCGCATGTTTGTTCTTTTTCAATGATAATATCTAATACATCCTCTAGTCTGGACATAATTATTTTAGAAAAAATTTTTATAATCTACATTCATTATTGTCAGTTGCCTATAATTGTTAATGTCTTCTCTATCACCTTTCTTATATAATAAACACATAACTCCTTCATAAAACGATTTACCCATTGTTTCTCTTTCTATTCCTTCATTAAAATACTGAGTTAACAATTCAGACAGTTCTTTACTCACAATTTTGTAAAATTCAGAGGGGAGTCCATCCAGACCAGGTGTTTTATCGGTACTAAGTTGGTTAATTACTGACTCCACTTCCTCTCTTTTAATTTTTCCAATCAAAGTTTCATAAATGACAGGATCTAATGGTTCAACCTCACTCAAAAAATTGTTAATAGCGTCGCTGTTTGTAGCTATGGATGAAAACATCTCCGAACAATAGTCTCTAATTACTTGTCTTTTTCCCTCTTCTTTAAAAACTGACTTTCCATGTTTATCCTTAATTGAGACGATAAAATCATTTCGACATTTCTTTTGATTATTAAGAATCATATAATCGCTGTTCCCGTAAAAGTCAGTACGTCTCAACATATTAAATAAAACTTCTCTATTGACTCGATCAATGTCCTCTTTAAGAGACATCATTTGATTTTCCTCCTTCTCTTCCTTCTCCTTCTTATTTCTTAAATATATATATCTGCTCACATCTTCATTATATTTTACATTCTTTGCATGGTTTAATTCTGTTACAGGAAAAATGATTCTATGTTTCTTTACCTTCTTTTAAATGTACAAAGATGCCTTTTGTCTGCCCTCTCCCTATGGTTAGATTAGTTTAGAATTATCTTTTTAGACTTTCTCAGCAAAGACATACTGTTTTGGGACATATTGTTTTAGATTGTTTTATCTCTCACAGCCTTCTCCCAGCTCTCTGCTGACGAGACTAGCGCCACATATGGAGTTGTTTATTTTATTTGTTTTGTATTTTCTTATCCTGTTCTCACTGTCTTTCCTATAAAAATTACCAAGCCACTGTGCATGGTGTGAGTTGTTCTTAGCAGCTCACCCGTGTACACGTTTGATAAAGAAGGTAACTTTGTCTCATTGTGTCTTTATTTCTCCTGGGTTTTTTTACAGAGTTTTCCCCCAACATTTCTTGGTCCTTCGACAGCCGGATCACCTCCATCGTGTCCCATCTCCGTGACCAGTCCACGTTGTTCGCCTGTCGACAGCCCACACACCAGGTGTGTGGAAAAAGACCAAGAGCGTTAAATTCGGGTCTTGGCCAACGTCTTAGAAAGCGACCCACGGTGGTGGGGCCCGATCGAGGTGGACCAGACCCGGCGACACCGACCAGGTAGATACAGACACACTGACACAATCTTGCGTAAAATCGTATTTTAAATTCAGGGAATTTAAAATAGCGAAAGTAGCTCGTCGAGACTGGAAGCTCCCCACTTCTGTGGGTTTAAAGTAGCTCGTCGGCTGGTAGCTTGGAGCTCGTCGACTGGAAGCTCCCCACTCTTGTGGGTTAGGTTTGGAGCTCTGGGTAGCTCCCCCAGCTGGGTCAAGGGAATAAGTAGCTCGTCTACAGAAAGACTGGCAGCTCCCCTTATGATAAGGGTTCCGATCGCGCGAATAAGTGTGAATGTGAATGTATGTGTGTGTGTGTATTGTTTTAATTAACGGAGCAAGCTGAATTTTCACGGTCCAATAAGAGACTGAGCTGCTCCTACTGTGTTTTTCTTTTACTGCTATTCACTGACGTGCTGGTGAGTTGAGAGAACGGTCGAGTTCCGTCTCGTAAAGTTCACACCGCTTTTGGAAATAGTCCGAAAGTAGAAGGGCGTGTGAGCAACCACTCTCGTCTCTAATACCAGCGAAGGTGATAGCAGCTGTATTGTGTATATATTACTTAAACAAAAATAAGTAAATACATAAATAAGATGGGTAATCAAGCAAGTGAAATTAAAACTCACTCCTGCTGACGAGCAGTGGTGAGAAAAGAAAAGTCCAGACGCCGGACAAAAACAGTGTCTGTAAACTGAGAGATTTAAGAAAACAAAATATAAACAGTCAGAAGAACAGAACTCAACTGCCAGTTTAGTAAAACCAGAAGACGAGACACTGTGCAGTTCCCACAACCCTTTTAGAAAGCCATCACTCATTCCTGCAGCCGCATGTGCAGCACCACCCATATCAGGAAGAACTTAATAATCCCTTATTAAGTGAAAACTAGAGATCAAAGTAGTTTGTAGTAGTTTAAAAGGGTTGAAAACAGACCCCACTGAGTAGATATAAATATAAAAAGTACGAAATAAAGATGAACAAAGGGAAAATTACAGTAGAAATTATCTTTAGAGTATTTGAAATTAATAATAGCAAGGATAACAACCTGTAAAGTGATATTAACAATGAAACACAGTTGGCATGATGACCATGCCCAGCATGTATAAAATGAATATAAAGCAAATAATTCACACGAAAATATTTTAATAACATAAATAAAGTATATTAAGGCTGTGTCACTGTTCAGCCAATGACAGTGTGTGAAAAGGTAACTGTCTCCACCCTGGGAAAAGGATGATTCTGCAGGTCATCTGAAGCCCTTGATGGATACAAAATAAAATATAAATAATATATTATAATAGAACTGCCTGGTCCGCCATGCAACAGAGAGAACAAATGTGACCGCAGATTGGATGAATTCTAAATTATCTGTTTGCTGAATAAGATGATCCTAACTAACAAATTGGCTCAGGAGTAGTATAATGGTACACACTGATAAAATATTATAATATGCTATTGCTGTTATATAAGACAAAGAGGATAATATTAACAATGACAATATTAATATGAAGAGGCACCTTAATCGGTTATGATGTGAGGTGGATAATTGTTAAGCAGTAGTCTGCATCAAGCTTAAGGTTTGCTAAAACTCAGTGTAATGACATGTGAGATGAAGACAATACAGAGAATAACTAAACTAATGAAGTGCATAGAGGCACTTGACCAGCTTGAAACCTATCATTCTAGCATGACACATTGCTGAGATAGAGCACACCTATAATAACAACCAATAAGCAAAACCCTGTAGACAACAGCTAAAACTACAGGATTGAGAAGCTGAATTAAATATGTAGACACTGCTAAG